TATTTAATATTCTTTTATTTATAATATATTCACAATATGTAACATGTATATATTATGTTTATTTATTTATATTAAGTTTAGGAGCCCTTGCTAGATTGGGGACGTGGTGTGTGTAAAACGAGGACCTCACAGCTGGCGAGGAAGGTGAGGAAGGCGAGGAAGGCCAGGCAGCCCGAGCGGGCGGGCGCCGGGGGGCCCTGCCCTCCCCTTGGGGCACTCGGGGTCACTGGGTTCCTCTCCTCCATCTCTGTTACCCCTGCCCTTGCCCCTGAGACTGCAGCCAAGCCAAGCCGGGCTTTTAATCATTTTTACAGGTCATTACATCTTGAGCGAGCGGTAAAAACCTTCATTAATCCTCAGCAGCCACCTGCGAGGGAAAGCAGTTTGTATTATTTACCATTTTGCCCTTCACAGGCGGTGCCCTCCGAGCACGAGCAGGGGAGCAGGTGAGGGGCACGAGGACCCCCGCCCCGAATACCGAGGGGCTCTGGGTGCCCAGAGGGGCTTTGCTCTGCAGAGGGGCTCCAGTCTGAATGAGAATTAACTTTACCCACAGGAATAAGAGTTTGTTTCCTTATTCCTTGCAAACTTCTGGGGTACCTCCCGCACCCTCCCCCAAGGAGGCGAGGGCGTACAGGAAGTGTTGGGCTTTTTCACTCTTTTTGCAACAAACCCAAAGAGGGATGGCCTTTTAACAAACAAACATCCGTACTGGCAGGCAGTTTTGGAAAGGGCTGGGGAGCCAGGAACAGCTATCAATTTGCGAAGCCACGCGGGTTTTCCTGATGTGTAACTTTAATTAAAACACATTGCAAATATCGTTAATTAGTCAAGTAAGCCATTGGAGAAGAGTACTTTACTCGCCCATACATATGTATCAAAAACTGCTTCAATTCTTATCTCCCGCTTTGATATTGAAATAGTTCATACTCTATAAAAAGTGTTTATTCAAACACATCATTTTCCCAGCACTCAAGCTGGTACTGCTTGCTTAAAATATGCTGTTATTTTGATTTAATGCAGTTTCATTTTACGAGGGTTTACTTTCTTTGGAATACAGTGAAACAGAGATGCTCCACAGATCAACTGGAAAACTGAAGCATAACACAATTTTTCAATGAGCCATTTGAACAAACGTGCTAACTGCACTGAATTCAAAGCAGGACCGTTTAATTAAGATGCTTTCAGAATAACGTTTGTGCTGTTTTTCACAAACGCCAGAGATTGCAAAAGTTTCAAACTCATGTCCTTAAAAAATCCTCCCTCCCAGGGGAGTTTGACCCTGACAATTCTGGGTAACGTGAAGTGTAGTTGCTAATATTTTACCACCTCCACAGACATTGCCTTAAAGATCCAGTTTTGTGAAGTGTTCTTTACATGATTCTATACTGCTAGATTTTATTACTTGTCTCCCTCCCAAGATTTCAGTAGTTCAATAAATTGCACAAGGAGGATGCAATTTAATTAAGCAAGTATATCAAACACCGTCATGCTCTTAGGACATTTGCCTTAGTAACAGAGAAAAACAGCACTTTTTTTTTTTCCTTCCCTTGCTGTCTTCCCCGCGTTCCTACCTTCAGAATGATTTATTTAAAGTAACTGACTTCCTAGGAAATAAACAAAAGGCAGCTGGCAAGTTAACTATATGAAAGCATAAAATGCTGATTTTTTTTGTGGCACTGCTCTGCTGTTACTGCCATCTCGTGTTGCAAAATGATATCCGAGGAACATGAAATCCAAACAATTTTATTAGTTACCATGGTTTTGTAGGAAACTTAACACCTCCAATAAAATTTGTATACACAAGAGATGCTGTCAGTTAGAGCCATTCCTTTGGGTTTTTTCTTTCAAAGCACACCAAAACAAGCCAGGGCTGTTCACACATGTTCATTAAGACCTGCCAGGAACAGCACTGCTTCAAAAACCAATCTCCGACAGCATTCATTGATGGCTACTGTTCAAACAGAACACAAACTCTTTGCTGAGCCCAGTACGAGTCATGCAAACAACTCCCTCCTTGTCTAGGTTTCCTTCTCCCCACCCATCAAACCCCTTCTCTCATTTTCCAAAATGTTACTGATACATTTCTTTATTAATTTTGAAGGGGCAAATTATTTAGAATTCCCTTTTGAACTGCATTCATTCAGAGTGCCTTTTTAATACGGAGCTCTTCAGATAGATAGAAGAAACATATGGAGAATTATCACAGAAGCAACACAGAGAAGATCCTGGTGCGATCACAGTAGGGATGTCAGACTTCTCCCTAAAATAACCCTACCGATTCAAAGAGAATGCCTGCAAAGCAGAGAGGAGGTGAACGCCTCTAGGTCTCACTGCTGACAGTTCCAGGAAAAGATGTGTGAAAAATGACCGAAGGCACCGGCGCTTTCCTGAGCGTTACTGCTCTGAAGGTGACAGAGCTACAGGACTTAGCTCAGGTTCACTCTCTTTAGCCACACCGATACCATCACCTGGATTCTACTTCTACCTCACGGGGAAAGGAAAAGGAAGTGGGAGTCAAGGGAAGGCAGGGATCTCCCTCCCCTTCTACTATTACCATTAACAGTATGCTTCACACACAGAGTTGAAAACACACTGTAGAACCCTTCACCAGTTTTCTATGCATTTACTGACTCAGTGATAAACAAGTTACTGAAAAACTACTGAAGACCAGAAGTTCATGATACTGACTCAGCCAAGTCACCCTTTTTATCAGTTTTAGATTAACTGATACTGGCATTACAGAAAATAAAAATCTTTATAGAAAACAGACTGGTTTTACATGGTAGGACTATTTGGGACCTGCAAGAGCTTGTAGCTTTCGCTACAAAAAAAGTTAGACAAAGTGTAATGAGTTCTATCTAGAGGACAGAAACACCTTTTTGGGGGGGGTTTGGTTTTTAGGGTTTTTTTGTGGTGTTTTTTTTTGTTTGTTTGGTTGGTTGGTTTTTTTTTATGTAGCAAAAAAATCTATGCTAGATTTATGCATACAAGAAAAATCTTGGCATCACCTGATGCCCCACAGTCAAGATAAAGTAGTAAATATTTATCATTAAAATACAATGAAAAGAGGTAGAGAATGTGGAATCTGGCAAATTAACACTTTACATTACTACAAAATGAAAACCTCTCCTTGCAGAAATTACAAGTTAGTTAACAGGAGGACCGTGCTGTCCGAAGATCTTATGACAAACTCTCCAGTGGCTGCGAGTACATGACAAAATATTTACTGGTATCTCAGTTACATTTAGAACAGTGCACAAACAGTTCTCTACTGTTATTCACTTCTACAACTTCTTCAGGCAACTTAACAGTTCTTCTTTATCCATGTGGTACCCACTCTTCTTCCATTCCTCCCTTAACTGCTGTAACGCTGTTCCAATTTCTTTTCCAGAAGACACACCCATTTTTCTTATATCATGGCCACTAACAGGAAAAGAAGGAACAGTCCACTGCTGCATTTCTCCTAAAAGATGTTCTTCTCCCTGGTATTTTAGAAGCTCACAGATCTTGGAATTTGTATTAGCTTCCCTAGACTAAAAGACAAAAAAAAAAAAAAAGAGACGATTCGCTATAAAACAGCAGAAAATAGCTCAAACCATGCTCAACATTGCATTATTCCCAGGACATCTTATTTTAAAACTCAGTCCTAACTTGGATGCTCTGGGAGATCCTTGGAAACTTCTTGAATTCCAAGCACCAGCTGTAACCATTATCTTCAACCTCCAACCAGAGAGGAACTATTACCTATCCTGTGGGAGACAGGCCTCACTGCAGACACTGCTGTCTCTTGCCTTCAGGCTCAGAGACTGCAATAAAACTGCAGAACTTCACCTGAAAATTACTTGACTTTTGCTGTGGAAGAACATCACAGGTTGCCTACTTAACAGTACTCCTCACGAAGAACAGATACCGATGCTCCAAGAATCGCACTGGCTTTCAATACAGGATTCAAGGAGCTGAATTTCACATAAAAAGTTGGAGCCTCTTGAGGTCCAGATCCTGTCTCATGTTTTAATGCAGAAGGGGAGATGAGCTGGGACAGGACAGCAAACTGTTAGTCCCTAGGTATGTTCACAAGAAACTTCTGTTTCAGATGATTGAATATGACATTTTTCAGCCTGACTGAAAGGTAGCCTTTTAAATCCAGTCAAAAAACTGCTACAGAACGCAAAGTGCTAAGAACTGCTAAAAATACAGTGGGATTTTTGTGTTTGTTCTAAATAATTTCTTAAACGTGAATTTAAAGCCTCAGTATTTTGGATGGGAAAGAAAAAAGCTTTTGAACCCAAGTAGAAATACCTGCTATTTATCCTTTTGCAAAACTAAATTCTACTAAAGGAAGAGAATCTTTTCATACTGAAGTTTCTGCTTTATGTTGCAGAGACATGCCAGGACATTTGCAATAGCTTTTATTAATTTCTAGTCCCCTTTCCAGAGGAAAAACAAACAAACAAACCAACGCACCTCACCTTAGTTAACTGGAATGGGTATCTATAATACAGACAGATATTCTTCCAGTTACTGCGACAATATTACACTGGGAGCAAACTAAATTTGGCTAATACTTTTGCTCAGTACATCCCATCTTTCTAATGAAAATATCATGGTCTTTAAAACGCTGGCAAAAAAATTGCCCAAGACCAACGAACCAGCCTGCTGACGAAATGCCTCTTACTTGACTCTTTAAGGCCCTTTCTTTCCACTAGGCATTGTCCCCTCTGCTGCGCTGTAAAACTGGAAATTCAGTTTACTATGAAGAACAAAATAAACATGAAATACACTTACATCCATTATGAAGTCCTGATATGGTCTAAGTGGTTCTGGACCCATAGCCTTGGTTAACTCTTGCCGGTGCTTCACTAAAAAAAGGCCAAGGTTTTTTTCTTCTTTTGAGATTTTCAGCCTTAGATCAAGGTTTGTAACATCATCCTTGAGCTTGAACAATGATGTCAGAACAGTCATCGGTTTTGGACACAGATTTTGAATATTTTTTGTGACTCTGGCAAATTCCTCTAAATCTCCATCAAGTGGTAGTCCTACAGGAATATACACAAAAAAAGTGCGAGAAAGACCATTAATAAGAAATGTGGATGTTAACATAGGAAAAAAAACCCAGCTAATTTCTTTCTGAGTAAAACCAAGTTTTATCTCCCTTTGCCACGCTGCAGTTCTGTTTGTATACCACACAGGAACAGGAAATCAATCTTCATTTCACTTTACCTATGTACTGGGCAATATCCAGCTCATACATAAGTTGAACCAAGTGATTGACGTGGTTTCCAAGAAGGATTTTTTTCAGTTCCACCCAAATCCTTTCTCCTGATATTCCAGCCAAACCTTTGGCATTTTCTCTAATTGCCTGCAGTGTAGTAGGTTCATGATCACCAGGTTTCTCTGCGATTCTTCCATAAAACCTGTCCAAGTAAAACCTTTGTATGTTAGATTGAGAACAATTACTCCATTTAGAATCATAGAATCGTTTAGATTGGAAAAGACCTTTAAGATCATGGAGTCCAACTGTTAACCCAGCAGGGCCAAGACCACCACTAAACCATGTCCCTAAGCACCACATCTACATATCTTTTAAATACCCCCAGGGATGGGGACTCCACCACTTCCCTTGGCAGCCTGTTCCAGTGCCTGACAACCCTTTTGGTGAAGAAATTCTTCCTAATCTCCAATCTCGACCTCCCCTGGCACAACTTGAGGTCATTTCCTCTCATCCTATCGCTTGTTACTTGGGAGAAGAATTTATTACTGCTATTCAGAGACTGAATGCCATGACAGTGTTAAATATTCTAATTTGAAATACAAGAGGAAACTTAACAATATGACAATTACAACTCTTTTTACATTACTGATCTCTTTTTGCACGATCCTGAAACATTCTACAATGCTTAGTTCATTTCTTTATCTAGGAAAGGCGAAACCTAGTACCTGAAATATCTTAGGATTCGTAAATAATCTTCTTGTATTCTCTCACTTGCCTTTCCTACAAATCTAATTTTCTTGGTTTTCAAGTCTTCATATCCATTAAAAAAATCATACAGCATCCCATCCAAACCTAAGAAAAGAAAAAAAATAGAAGAACATGAATTTACAAACATGGTTGGCACAATTAAACACTCTCATTTGAAAATACAGAAGACAAGTTGTGCGATTTGACCTGATTTGTCAGATCATCTCACATATTTGTACAGACCTTTCAGCTGATAGCAGTACAAACAAAACTGAAACAGAATTTACTGGCTTAATTTGAAATGTAGTGTTTCACCTAAACATTTGCTTTTGAAAGAATTTACCTAAAAACATGGAATTGACAGTCAGATCCCTCCTTTCAGCATCTTTTTCCCAGTCAGTGGTGAATTCCACCTCTGCATGTCGTCCATCGGTGACAACATCTATTCTAAGAGTAGTAATTTCAAAATTCTGTTCATGGAGCTGAAAATCCCACAGATATTGTTACTTCACCCAATCATGAATGTAAATGTAAAGGCTGTATATTTTTTCAGCCTCATGTTTGTATACAGTTAGTGCTCAAGCTGGATATATGCAAACTAACATCCCACATTTTCATACAGAGCAGACAATCAAGAAATACAAACATCTGAAAATAATCACTGCATTATTTATTTTCTAGATAGCCTGCAGAAATCTTCCTGCAGAAGATGGAATAAGAGGCAGAGGGACAAGCAAGGTAGAGGAAGCAAGACTTGGGAAATCAGGAGCAGGAAATACTAGGATCAATTTCCGCAGGTTATCTGAACGTGTGGGCAGCCTATATTGTCTTTTCTAGTGATGACACAGCAGCATGAATGGGTTATGCAGAGGTGACATGCATATGGTAATTGACTGAACGCCACAAAGAAAGAGTAAACAAAAAAATCACTCCATACTTTAAAGCAGGGTCTCATTTAAACTCTTACGGTGATCCTTTAACAAAGAAGGAGCATGCTACCAGTTTGCTATTTGACATGCTGCACGTTCACAGATACAGTTAGAAAAGATCCAAGTCAAAACACAAACCAACCCTGGCAGTAATGGTTCCATGTTTTTCTCCTTTGTTATTGATCAGACGAACACCAGCAGATGTGAACATTTCCTTCATCTCTGCTGGTGTAGCTGTAGTGGCAAAATCTATATCTTGTGGCGTCATTCCACTTAGTAAATCCCTCACAGCACCTCCTGCTATTCTCAGCTCATAGTTCTTCTTCTCAAACAATTCTGGGAAGGAAATGAAAATCATAAAGCATTCTCAAATAAAAATCATAGCACACTGTCGGCCACAACCTCCCTTTTCACAAATTAAGATTATAGATGTGGGAATACACACTCAAATACACAGTAAATAGCAAGTATGCACCTCACAGCTTCATGCAAAATGCACAAAATAGGTACACAGCTGAGCACCCACAGGTTGCTAATTGATACTGGGGGACTCTGGGCTGTGGAACATTTTTAGCAGTCAGCAGCTGACAAGAGAAAAGTGCTTAGTTTACTTACGGCAGAGCACAGCGAACCGTGAATCCAAATTCCTTCAGGTGCAATACTTCACAACAGTTGATGAAAACCGAGCTCCGCCACGTCCTTTGAGTCCTTTTAAAGTTACCGTGGCTAGAGCTGAGGACCAGCACGCACCTCCCGGAACACAACAGCTACCCCGGCTGCCCGTGGGCACCCACGACCGGGCCACAAAAGCCCCTGTCAGCTTCCCTGGCAAGGGGATCAGCGGCTGCGCCTACAGCAGTGACAGGCCGCAAAGGGCGAAGCCTGCATTTGCCGCCCTTCCTCTCCAGGTCGGCATTTTGGTCCTCCTCACGCCACGGAAAGCGGGGACACTTTGCTCAGCCCCGCGGGTGCCCAGGC